AATAATAAGTTATAAAATTTATGAAATGCAATGTAATGCTACTATTTAATTCAAGTTAAAGTTTATAAATTGTTGACTTAGGAAAATCAATTGAAACTAAATATACACGTACTTAGTGAGAAATAAAGTTTCCATCACAAACCAATAATTAAAATATAATTAAGTAATGTTTGTAAACATTAACAATTTTCAATATAAGCAAATCCCACGACTAGCTAGCCGCGTTGCATTAGACTAGCCTCGAACCTCAAAGTCACGGCCGCCTCTCTACAAACCTACACTTGTAACTAGCACCGGTTATAACTCGCAACGAGTGTAGTTTTATGTCGTGTCGCTTAATTGTTGCGTATACAAACGTGTTATGAAGTTTGCTTAGTCTGTATAACGCATTGCTACGATCTACAGCTTACTACAATTACATTAACAACTCTAGCTATCTATATTTAGAGTTAAAAGAGGCCATTGTATTTTGACTAGCGGTTATCTTGTATTAACTGATGTTTTTGCTTTCAGTCCCGAGACTATTAAAGCTCGGAACTGACTGACTAGCGGTTAGGAAGACAACTTGCATCATCATGTCCCAAATTGTGGTAGGGCCACGCAAACGCCTTCGCCGTTGCACGAATGGGCAGATCCGCCCGGCGAAGTACCATCTCACAGAAGACGGGTGTGAAGTGGAAGTGTTTAAATGGCGGATATAACTTAGCATCAGGCGAACCACCAGCCCGCTTACCACCTTCCCACATAAAGAAACATTAAGCAAAGAAGACAAATAAGAGTTTCTATTTTATTTATGGAGACCAGAACTTGTCATTGGCGACGGTAACTGCACTTGGCATACTGCACCTTTCTGGAAGCTTCTCGAAGCGCGGAAGTGTGTAACACTGAACGCAATTCGGTTTTCCCGACGATCGGTGGCTTTATTAGTCGGGCCCATTGTGGCTGGCGGCGGCGCGTTTCGGTAAAGTCGGCGTAATTACCGTGGTGTGAAAAACACCGCGGCCTCGCCGGATCGATGAGCTCCGGCCAAGGTCGCGAGGTCCGGCCCGACTCGTCAAGAGTCGTTACAGCCTCAAATCTGCGTTGAATTGAATCGAGTTATTGCTTCAAACGCCAGCTATTATCCTTGGCTTCGTACGTATAAGACGAACGGGTTAATTTGTAGTGTAAATAAAGATTATCTTATGTGTAACATGGATTTTATTAAAATCCGCCGATATGTTGCGCGCAGATGACAAATACACACAGATTCTACTGATAATGTATGAAACAGGCCTTAGGATCGAAACAAAATTGTCATCCAACTAATGTTACATCACTAGGCAAAGTATAATAATATACTTTAGCGAGATAAATCCCGTATGTGTCAATTGATTACCCTGTCACCACCGTCAGGAACTATACAGTGATGTTCACGCAGGATAAAACTGAAAACGAAAACTGGGATCAGAACCCACGACCTTGGACTGCTTGTCGACATAACATAGACTACTACCTCACTTTAAAACTGGTTAATAAAGGCTAGAAGAGACATCTATTATAAATGAGTTGAGTATTATTTCTAAAAATGTCTCGTTTAATATTCTGAATCGATTATATATGTTTTTACTTATATTTAAAATGTTCATTTTCAGTTCGCAAATTATTCAAAAGAATTTCGACCTCTTTGAGTTTGAAAGAAGTATTTTAAAATAGATTTTAATATGAATACATAAACGTTAAACAATTTATCCACGAGAGAAACTTAATATAGATATGGCACGTTAAACTATTTCTTATTTACAACAATTTTATTTATTTCAATTCAAGAACAGTTCTATTTCGATGAAAAAAAATAGAATGCGAAAGCAACTTACGGTTTTTATATCAAGAATTCGCTCAGAAATAATCCGATAATTTCGTCTCGTAAAACATCACACTGAAGTTATAAATTTAACATAACTCACATTCTTGTTTAGAATTAAATATTACTTTGATGGTTTCCTTTAACTCGGGGATGCTCGGTGCTAATGATTCGAGATAGAAAAATATTTTAAGAACTGTCTGACTTACAAGGAACGGACCTCTAATGTTATGTCGATTAAGTTTTATGTTTTTGCTATATTCAACCAATACGCCAGTAAAACTTCATGTTAATTTTTACGAGTATCCAGTAGTACGTGCCTCGCGTCATATTCGTTATTACACTATTTATTAAATTTCTACTTTATTGTTTAAATGAAGAACTCACAATTGCCCGCAGTAACACTAACCTAGTGAGAAAAATAAAAAGCGCGGCAGCGAAACGAGCCGATATCCATAGAAATTTTTGCGTCGTTACACTGCAATGATGCTTAATCGGGAGCTATAAAGTGCTGTGGACAGAGGAGCAGCGATCGCGAGAGAAAAAAACCGCATTGCGCATCGTGGGAGACTTTTTTTATGGGCGAAAAAGTTCTTTTTTTTTTTTCTCGAAAAGAGGGGACGCGGCCCTTTGTCGACGCTCAGGTGGTTGGTTCTTTTTCGTCGCACCGAATAGCGGTCCGTAGTCGCGTCGAAAGTAAGTACGAATTGGGATTTTTTCGAGCTGTCAAATTTACGCGGCAAACTCTAGCCGACGTCCACGTTCCCCGTAGAACGTGCCAGTGTAGTGCTGTCACCGACTGGCGAATAAACGATTAAATTATTGCCACGCGAAAACGTTTTTCCCCGATTTGAAACGATTGCACGCCTTTTAAAAATTGGCATTTAAATTTATTCAATTAGAAATGTTAACTTCCAATTTTATTAATAACTAACCCGCCGCCATGTTTAAATTCAAATTCATGTTATGCTTCAATACTGTTATTATGTTATTAATTGGAAAATTAAGATTATCTTAATGTCCGTGCAAGAAAATAATTTTATCGAATTTGGAATTCTTTTGCGAGAAGATCATATAAAACAAAATAATTTAAAAGTCCGTAAAAGTCACAAAATCTGATAAATTCTTAAACGACGGGAAACACATTTTCGTATGGCATAGCAAAATTCTAAGCTTCTCACCTTTTCATTCAAGAATGGTGCAAACATTTATTTCGCGCAAGCGAAACTATGTCCTATTTCAGTCGGTGTTAACGATTGAAATCGATCACACAATCAAGTCGCAGTGTGCTGTTAAGCTTTGTGGATGGCATACAAGATGTTGCATGCGACTGAGAACTCAAAACGGCGTGAGTAATCAAGTCCGGCGGAGCAATTTCCACCGTAACAAAAAGGAGCACAGTCCATTTTCAATCGTCCATTACGGCGCATTTCAAAGGGATGGGGGCAGGTAAAGAAATTTGAACATTTTAAGGGATGATGAAAAAAAACAAGGGTCGGTTTTAAGATGGTGTCGGCTTCATGCTGCGCGATGGATGGACTGCGGATGCAGTTTTAGATGCCTCCCCCGATTTCGAAAAGGCCCCGAGACTGTTAATTGAATGTGACCGCTTGGAAGATTTTCACATCGATCGCCCCGAATTGTTTCAAAGCTTCGCCAACTGTCACGATGGTTAATTACGGCGACGAGGATTGGTCAGAACTGCTTTAAATCGATCTAACGTTTATTAAAGAGGTTAATTATAATTGGAGAAAGAGCTCTTTTGCTGAAACGTTGCTAAAGTTGATTTATAATTCTGAAAATGCATGTTTATTTTATTTATTTTTTTTTTACGTGAAAAGTTGTCAAACGAGCAGACGGTTCACCTGATGTTAAGTGAATACCGTCGCCCATAGACATCTGCTACACCCGAGGGTTACAGATGCGTTGACAACTTTTTGAAAATTGGGCTCCGGTCACCTCACGTCTGGTGAGAGACGAAACGCGAAAGTATTTGTCATACTTCCACTTTACGCCGGTCTTCTGTGAGGTCGTGGTACTTTCCCGGACGGAACTGCCCATTCGTGCAACAGCCGAGGCTGCTGCGTGGCCCTACCACCGTTAAATTATATTTGGTTTACTTCCATTTGACCACAAAACTCTTTGAAAACCCTACCTTGTATTGTATAATAAAACGACATGTGCATAAAACAATCTCCTCTGAATAAACACCGAATTAAAAAACCACGGGTGAAACACATTGCAGCAATAAAACCTCGATCACAGATGAAAAAGTCCGATTTACATTTCGGCCCACCCCGTGGTCCTTCTGCCGTCGCGTTAGGCTTCAATTTGACACCAGCATGCGTCACGATGGGTTTTTACGAAATCTGGAGGGGAAAAAACTAAGCGCCCACATCTTCCGACAGGAAGAGGAACTTATTTGATTATAATAAACATTAGATGTCATAAAAAACGAAACACCAGGTGCTCAACGTTTTGTTTTTCTAGCCAATTCAAAGGTCTCTTGTTTGTTTTGTAATATCCGATTCGGACGGCACCCTTTCTTGCTATGAAAAAAAATTTTTTTTTTTAAATAGAATCATATTTTTTAAGGTAGCTAAAGGAAGCGTTTGCGCACCCTGTAAAGAGTACATTTTGAAAGGGAACGTTTTTCCATTACGTTTAGAGGTTTTTTTATATTCAGAAGAAGCAGAATTACATTTTAATTTACTTCTGACCCCCGCACTAGGCAGTTCTTGACGATTTCCAATATAGTTAGTTTTAGCAATTTATATCACTACATAGTATTAACAAAGTCGTCGTAAATGGATGCTAGGTAAACATGTGATGTCTATTACATTCATATTAAAAAAAGTATAGTAACAGCCTATGTATATCCCACTACTGTCCAAAGTCCACCTCTGCACATAGGGTATTTTGGCATTGAGAACTGCGGATTTGCAGACTTGATATATCTTTGAATTTTTCTTCTCCGTAAACATGAAGATATCCGCACATAAAATTAACAATTTCATTGGTGAACACCGGAAAATGCACTCAGGTTGCTCGAGTATATTGAATTAAATTAAAAAAGCGAGGACAATGAGCTATCCAGGTTCTTCACGCGTATTTTTAATTATTCTAATTGCATCGCAATCATTAGTTATTACAATTTATGGCGCAATGTCCCAAAGTGACCGATAGGTAACCACGGAGGTGTCAGTTTTTAGTATTTAATTCCAATAGAACAAAAACATGTATGTTGCATACCCAGATTAGGGGAGTCCATTGCTTTTTTCAACTATCAGCTGGCGGTAGAGGAGCGATTCAAAATCGGCCCGAGACTCGAAACTGGCTCCGAACTAGAATCCGGTTTGGAGCATTTGCGTGATGGATTGCCGCGCACTTGCACGCGCCAACGCACCAACACAAACGACTATGTAAAGCCGGCCGAATGATCGAGTCGTCACGTATCCACTGCCGCGTTGCGATCGGAGAATTAAACGATGCCGCAACAAAAGCAGCAATGAACGTATACATGTAGTTTAAGTTGACCTGCCGTGGCGCCGCAGCAGTCGTAGCGACGAGCAATAGGTCGTGTAAATCAAAATGGCGGTCTCCCAAAATACAGGTTCCGTGATGATGGAGCGTTCGAAATTAGTTAAAAACGCTAGAAATGTAGACGTTGTAAACATTCGAACTGCGAGAAAACTATATAATATAACGTATTTAATGAACGGTCTGTTACGAAGCCTTTATCTGTTCAAGGACTTTAATGTCAGTATTTTCAGAGATCCGATAGTAAACAACAATAAATGAGCGTCAAGAGTTGATAACTTAGATTATCTACAACTAGCTGTTGCACACCACGATCATCAGTAACTTATCCAAAAAGAACTGCGCATTATTCCCGGATGAATACTAGACAATGGTTCCACTCATGAACTAAAAAATCACGTATTCACAAATGTAAACATCACGTCGACTAGAACTTGAGTGTTGCATTAGAATGTACTGACGAACACACTTTCGAGTTCGTGTAGCAAGCGAGCTAACGGCTGTGTTGCCACCTTTTAAAAAGATAGGCCAAGTTTATCTTACCACACGAAACACGAAAGTATGGTACTTCCACATCACGTCGTCTTCTGTGTGGTAGTTTTACTTTCCCGGACGAGGCTGCTCACTCGTTCAGCAGCAAAGACTGCGCGGCCCTGCTAATAAAGCTTAGACACCTGAAGGCTATTTGTCAATACATCAGCTTTTAGAGCTAGCAGCAATAAATGATGTTCTGAACTGCAATCTAGGAGTCTGCGACGGGATAAGCACGTCTCCATTATAGATATCATCATCACCGTTTAATATAATCGAAACTTCGTCATCTCCAATCTCTTACGTCTTACGTACGAGCAGCAGTCGCAAAGCCAGAGAAATGATATTTCTTCAAAATAATGTATCAGTAACCGATCTTAATTTATTTTTATTCTGTTCTTCGTCTGTGTTGCTTATTACATTGACAACTACACCGTTTATCTACTTCCCCACGACAAGAGAGCACAAATCACTGAACACGTAGTGATATTATAAAAATCGTAAAATAATCTTATTAAAATTAAAATATAAAAATCGTTTTTACTGAAAACTTTATTTTTTTTAGATTAAGGCCAAGTGTCTTAAAAATAAAACTTATTATAATTAATTGAATACTCTGTCAATTAATTTAAGTATATAGATAATTATAACTATTTAAAGATCGTTGTGCACATATTATGTTTCAACATTCCGATAACTATCATATCCGTCATCTAATATCAAACTTAAAATGTCCGGTTAACAATGCTGTTGAAAAAGCTGAAGTATTTTACATACATTGGTATAGAAAGAATGTTATCTAGAGCAACCACATCTTAAGTTAAAAAAAATTTAAACGATTCCAATATTCACTTTGCATTATAAAGGAATAAGCACTTGCCTCTAACTACGAAACTGCCTGCACCTGAGGGTCGTATTTGAATGAAAATGAGGAATCTCCGACGCAAAGTTCAATCGACATCCTGCTTCCGCACCCGAAACAGGTGATCGAACGAACGAATGGCAACGGAATCCATTCAATCGCCGAGCCCTTCGCTTGTGTTCCATGTTTTAAAAGTGGATACTAGTTCAAGGCCGATTGAAATCGAAATTTTTACTCTGTGACATTATGTTCATGTTTTTCTCATAAAATTAAAATTGTAATCGGCCAGCATTAGTAGGTTTAAAACGAATAAGGTTGCTACGACAAATTGTGTGATTTTTCATGATACCAGCTCGTGTTTAATATATTTTTGGTAACTGGAAACTTCTCGCTATAACTTTTAGAAACAACATGATAATCATGTCAACTTACAAATTTCTTAATTTTTACCGCCCTAATTTTTAGGAATAAAAGTGAAAATACTAAATTTATAATTGACACATTATACTAGTTGTTAATAAAAAAATCAACAACCATGAGCAAGAAAGGTACAACTAACGTTGATAAACATGCGCTACTTTTTTACTTTTAAAACATTTGCCCCCATGGACATAGCATGCTGCACAGAAAAAGCGACCGAAGAAAAGGCAACACTTTTACTTTTTATTGGTTATTACTAGCAATTTTCGTTTCATTCGACCTTGAAGCGTTTTGTTTTCCAGCGCTATTGATTGGAACAAAGCAAATCGCGCGTCAAGTTGAAAATTTGAAAACGTTTAAAAAGAAGCCGGGAGCAATACTGTTTTATAGGTAGCGCGTTCTATTTTTTTTATAGCCCGCTTTACGACTTTTCGAGTTAAAAATGAAAGTTTCAAAGGACGCCGCCATTATTATATTGCTTTATTAATGCTGTTTAAGTTAAGGATGGTCGTCTTTTGTCATTACGCAGCTGATATCTCTAAACAATGGCTCCTCTAACACAATTCATATAGAGTATCGGTATACTTGGTAATGGGTAATGTTATGTTTACAAGTTTGTGACTTCGTTTTTATTGACAATTGAGAGCATTAGAGGGATGAAATTTATGTTTGGGGCATTCGTGCAACAGAGAAGACTGTCGCGTGGTTCTACCACAGTTAAAAGCTTTATGTTTCTACTGTAGCGAGAAGAGAGCTTTGTCTTATAGGGGTCTAGAACATAAAATTGGAGGATCTTTTTTTTATCTAGGAGAAATGTGTCAATTATTCATGTGATTCTTTCATCGCTGGCCGGCGTCAGCTGTCGACAGACATTTAATTATTCATTCGACTTCGGCAAAATTAAATATTTGATTACAAACTTTTTTTTAATATGAAACTATCAATACAAGACCGATCGAGAGGAGATACCGATACTCATTTAGTAAAAAGCCACTTGATATCTTGTTATGTATGAAACTATTTCCGAGCACACCAATACTGCATGACTCACGCTCATTTTGCATAGACCGCACAGATATAATCGAACAGTCGAAGAAACAAGGGATAACTATGACGATACGAAGTAAAACACTATATCCCGTGACCATATACACTGGGTTCAAAAAGTCGAGAGTAGTTCAATCAATTAGCAGAAAATCCGTAGAGTATTTTTATTGTGTTACTACCGCCCCGGCTTCGCGAATGTATTATACATAAACCTTCCACTTGAATCGCTCTATAGTAAAAAAAAACCGCATCAAGATCTGTTGCGTAGTTTTAAAGATCTAAGCATACACAGGGACAGACAGACAGCGGGACGACTTTGTTTTACACTTTGTAGTGATTACTAAACTGAATAATATGAACTACGATGCAGTTTACAAGGTTAACTTCGAAGCTGGAGTAAGGTAATTGGCCCCCGCGGTCCTTTCAAGCAACCCTATGCGGCCGCCGGACCGAGCAACATCTGCCTGCATGTATTGTTGACTGACGTTGCACGTATAATTATGTATGCATGTTTGTGTTCGTGTTTGCTTTACGCACGACTAGTGTCGACCGGCGGCCGCGTCCGACATCCCCGGGACGAGCGTGAACACCAAGAAAACAGATGAATAATAATAAATATCGCAGCAGAACAGCGCTCGTGACTAACGCGATCCGTTGACGGCTTACTTGAAAACGCAAGCAAACCTTCTATTTGATAGGCGATCAGTTTACTGATGTTAAATAAAATATACATAAATACATTATACTTTTGAAATGATTCGTTCAATCGTCTATGATCGGCAGTGGACACATAAAGACAGCATATCTTTGAATTTTAGAAACAAATGTCATATCAAGTGTCAGCTGTCATTCTAATTCTGACATTATATTTACCGTTATCAAAGTCGTCTTTAAGAAAGCCTAACAATATCCCTTGAGGTCTCACTAGGTCATGTTAAATAGATTATAAATAATAGATATTCAATAGTACCTATATACGCACTATTTAGAGTATTTCTTTTCTGTTCTTATTTACAAATGTCAAAAAAGCTCTTGTCTTCTTAACAGAGCTGCTGTTTACAACTTAAGAGGACTTGTGAAAAATAAATTTTCTAAGCGATAGAGAAATCGAGCGTGGGGTCCATCACTTAGGAGGAGTACTCCAATACAGACAGAGAAAAACAGATAATTCCCAGTATGGTATTTGTATAAAACAAATAGTTTTAGCATTTGTTCTTGATTAATTTGTATTTGTACGTCTCCTCTAGAATATTAGTTCCTATTACGAGTTATTAAGATTAAATCAATTTTCGGTCGAAATAATTAGAAGGTTAGGACAGACCCCAGTTTCCAGGTATACGTTGTACCTAAATATAATAAGAATATGGTGGATTAGCCCTCATAATCTCCGTTCCGAGGAGGCTTTTGCCCAGAATTAGGTTGAGACATACACGTATTTAAATGTATTGGATTTTGTCTGCGATATTTTTGGTGCTTGATTGCGTGGTGCCTCCCCAAAGTTGGAGTTCCACCACGGAAGCCAATAATTGAAAAGTCAGATGAGATGGATAAATTCACGGAATAAAAAAAAACACGATGTTTTTAGTAATAAAGAACAATGTAGCTTTTGCGTACTAATTACAGGATTTTCAAAAGGTTGTCAACGCATCTGCAAACCCTCGGGTGTAGCAGATGTCTATGGGCGGCGGTATTCACTTAACATCAGGTGAACCGTCTGCTCGTTTGACAACTTTTCACATAAAAAAAAAAAAAAAATTACAGGAAATAATAACGTTCGAATTTCGAACACTTCTCGACCACCAGTCTTCGTTATAAGGAATAAGTGTTTAATTATTCTAAGGTTTAAACTAAACGGTCCGACCGAATCAACACAATCACTACGTAGTTCACCTATAGGCAGACCCGCCTTTTTGTCCACGCAACTAGCTGAACGACAGCTGTTCAACAAGGTGTTTAATACATTAACTCCATTATCGGTTTATCTACAGTCCGCTAATAAGATGCCTAGAGCAGTATCATGACTTAACTTGAATATTTAAGAAACTGGTCTCACTCGATCATTGTTTACAGAGCAAAACAAGTGCACTTGTATTAGTTTAAAAGGGAAACCAACACGGTGTCTCTTTTTGAAACTTCTTCAAAAGAGCTTTTTTCTGTAAATTGTTTATATAGCCGATGTATTTTTTCATTAAATTCATTCATCATTTCGGTAAAAGTATTTATTACTAATTAAATGTTTATTATAAATGTTAATTGTATACACACAATTGATTATTATTAATTGTATACACACAATTACATATAAAAAAAACAATGTTACAAAGGCGCAGTTGAATTTGTTAATAAAACTCCCCATGTTCGGTCCTCGCCGGATCCACCACTGCATACTATTAAGCACCCTCATTTACGTCTGGTCAATGACAGCCCTGTTTTAATCAATAACTTCTTTTTCGCGCGGCGTCCTTGGTTTTTTTCCCCGGCGCGACTTTTTCTGCGCGCATTTCGTCTGTTATGTGTCAATCGGGTTCGCGGCTTTTTCGAAGTCGCAACGCGTGCGGCGGACGTTACCTCATCTACGACGATTCCGCAAAAAAAGCTCGGCGAATAAGGCCAAAAGCTCGGCCAAAAAATCGTCTACCGAACAATATCTCGTATCGCCGGTCTTGTAGCCATTTTAATTATTATTTAATACCGAGGGACGAGCACGTGGCGACGCACGCCATCCTGCTCCCGCAACGGAGGCTGTACGCGGCCGACGTGCGCCGTCCCGCTCGCACCGAGCCCACTTACACACATAAAAATCGTGAATAATAAAAAAATGTGTACACATTTTTTTCGCTTAACCGCCGCCTGTATGTGTGCGTGCGGCCTCACGCCGCTAGAGCGAGACGGCGCTATCGTGACGAGTGACGAGGAAGGCTCCCCACTCCAATTTTTTAAGCTCCAGCGTCGATGTTGGCGTCCGTGTGATTTTTTTCATTTTATGTGTTAGTGTACCCCTCGCTCGGTGTAGTTCACTTTTTCTACTATAGATCTGAATTTCAGTCTCGTTTTTGCCGCGTCGCTCTAAAGGCGGGCGAGCGGGCGTTTTGTATTGCATTTTTGTTGCCGACGCGAGTGGCCGGCCGGGCGCTTCTTGGACAGATCTAGAGGCTGTCATTTTGTACTAGCACATGTCGTCTTGAGGTGTCCTGACGATCGCGCTACTGCAGGCCGGTGCACGCGCGAAACCCCGAGTGCGAAAAGGACGGCGCGCTACGTCACGTGTGGATGCTATACCCACAGCGATACAGAAATTTATATAGCACACTAAAATATTGGGCACAAAAAATTCTGGCAATTTGAGTCCTAGTAACGGCGACCGGCATTCATAATTTTACCTCAGGGTCAACAGTACGGCTCCGGTGTTTTTTCCTCACCGGCTTTTTTAAATGTTTATTTTCGCGGAGCACGTGGATTTTTTGAGAGAATTTAGCGGAACGGCCGCGGACTGCCTTTCGGACGTGTTGTGACATTAGTGTTACCTTATTATGTGATATATTTTTAGTGACATTTAATTTAGATAGGAACAAACTGTGATTTATTATGGTGATATAGTTGGTGATTTTGGAGATATTTGGATATCTACAGGTATGTTGTTTCTCTTATCATATGACAAAATTTAAAGACATTATTATTTTCGGAGGGCGCACGAGTGCTCAGATCGAAATGGAGGAGGGACAATTTTTACGTAAGTTGTTCCCCCTTCTAAGATAAATGTTGTAATTGCCAGGCGACTGGGCGGACGTCTGTCAAAGTCGACCTTGAATTATGCTCAGACTATAAATACGGAAATATTTTCGTGCAGTGTGCCCGATGCTTGTTTAAAGAATATTTTTAACAGATCTTGCTTCTTTTATCTATCTATGCATTTTAGAATATTGTTTTTTTTTTGTCTTTTTCAATATGGACAAATTAATGTATCATAAAATCGTAATCTATCTATAAATTTTATTCACTTATTTTAGAATAGATTTTTTTTTTCCTCAGACTTTCTTTTTATAAAAATGTTCAAAGTTTCGTCCGTCATTTAAACTTTTTAATATAAAATAAATTTGTGAGTTATTACAAATATTCATTATCCATAAGTATATAATAAATATTAAGACGTACATTTGAGATAATAAGAAATATGTACTATAAATACCGGATGTGTAAAATTTCGATTAATCGTGTACACTGTACATTCGAAGATAATGATTATGTCGAACCCGACGTATTCGGGGTCACGACGACTCCTTCGCTAAATAATCAATAAAGTAAAATTTTACATTAAAAACTTCATAAGATAATTTCAACGCAATTTTACGGACATAATGGATTTTTATTTCTAATTATTTACATTTTAAGTATTAGTTTTAACGACTTGCGACTTACGACCTATACACATGTTTAAAATTTTAAATTGAACTGTGTATACATCGATCAATGTTGCTTTATTTAAGACTTCGCGTGTAATGGACCTAATTACTCGCCTAAAGCCACTTCCCTGATCCAAACTTGTACATACATGATTACAAATCTCAAACTCAATCATTCGTGAGGTCCAAGTACTATCCATCGCCAAATTACGTTCTGAGTTACCAGCTCATATGATATCCGAAAGCCTTATTTTGAACCATGTAAGGTCCATTTTCGAACGAACAATGTTTTAACTGCAGCAAATAAGTTTGCCATCTATTCTGTACGCGCAATTATTATCTTTGACAGCCGTGTATGCTGGGTTCTACAAGTACAGTCGGCAACACATTTTTTTATACCTAATAACAATATAATTTATTTGAAACAAATTTTCGAAGAATCAAAATCTAAAATATAGATAAGAAATTTAATAACAAGTAAATCTACACTTTGCTTATAAAAATAATTTGGCTGGTTTTATTATTATTATTGGCAAAATAATATTTATCAAGCTAATAATTAACATGGAAGGATTTTTTATTCGTTTTTTGCTTTTCGTCTTTGCAGCTGAATTACTTTAGCGCTTAAGCCAACACTGCAGAATAACAAAATTATTCACGGATCATTTATATAATCTAGTATGCCGCCTGTACAGAAACGTGATTATCAGAGCCGTATTCAAAGCGGCATGTGGGCTACGGGTTGGATCATTGACACAGCCTACGCGACAGCTCTCGTCACCTGCTAGCATCGGCAAAAACGCCAACTTTTTTACGCACACCAAATCTAGTTTAATCTAGCAAACGGTCTCTATCAAAGCAGAATGGAATTGTTTGTTTAACATTAAATATAAACTATTTCTCACCGGATTGTACGTTTATGGATGTCGAAGCGATTTACGACGGCCGATATTTTGAACATTTTGTCGATTTCTTTTATATCTTCGTAAATATTAAACGTTTAAGACGTTAACTTTGAACGCTCTCGACGTTTCATTCGACTAAAAGTGATTTTGAAACTGGGTCTGAGTCGTGGTGTCAAGTTAAATTTCACGTTTTCCTTTCCACAGCGCATCGAAGGATCTCGAATAATTCCATGACAAACGAAACGGTCGACGCGAACAACAGTACAATAAGACAGAAAACGTATATTTTTATAAGATAGTGCCAAATAAAGAGAGTTAGACACTGTTATATAATTTAGATAGGATATTTAATAAATCAATCAAGATGATGGAGGGCAGGACTATCGACTACAGGCCCGACGGGGGCGGCCTGGACTATCACAACTCGCCGTTAATGGCCGAAATACCGGTGGACAATTACTCGCACATACACAGAAGTATAGAGCACCTCCGCTCCATAGGAGTGCCCCCGCCCCTGGACCACCACAGGCATCTAGCGACGAACCTCACGGACCTGAGGAGATACGAGCACCCGGACGACATGCCAGAGATCAAGCCCTCAGTGCTCAGGCTGTCGGAGTTCAAGAACGGCCTCCAGGACATAAGGATGCACAACGACCAGGAGAACGAGGTGCAGAGGCAGATGACGCCACAGGACGACGGACCCAAAGGCTACAGCGCGCCGTCCACGCCCCTCTCCGAGAACGGCGGGCACAACGCACCAGAGGAGAAGGTTAGATCGTGTTTGTTCTAAGCTTGCCCGAAGTAACGCTTCGGCGCAGATCACGCCCGCTTGCACTTCCGAAGTACGGCCCCAAGCCTGCCGTCTTACTCTCCAAATTCGATTCGAATTTGTTTTTGTTTTCGATTCGAACTCACTCTTGATTCGAACCCGTTTTGAAAAGCTTACTCCCGAACCGAATCAAAACTAGAAACAAAAAGTGCGTCATCAAATCCGTTAACTGTATCCGGTCTATTACGTCTCCGACATATTTTCCATGTATACGGTTACAACACCTTTTTTTAGATAAAATGTTAATTGCTTATTCTTTTACGAAAACTTATTCGATCTTAGTTAGTTCTAATTAGAGCGACCACTCGAATGTGCGCTGGCGTCAAATTCAGTGGTACTGTCACGAGTTCGAGTCGAACTCGAATCTGTCGGGAGTAGGCCTGCTGCCCTCGCAACTCGCGAAGTGGCACTCCCGAAGTTGGGTGCGATGTGCACTTCTGAGGCGTCACCCCGTCTACTAACGCCTCCGAAGCCGCTTCCGGACTTCTCGCGGCATATTAGCGTTATCACGTACGCACGATCGGTTCCGCGTTTCGCTTCACATATTTCACGACTCCATCGTGTGCCAGTCTTTAGTCTAATGCGCTCATATAACAAAACACTTAAGCCCGTCCATTTGAATTTTAATTTTTCTTCCTCGTCGTCGAGAGCGCTCGAATGCCACGCGTACGGCTTCTCGAGTGGTGCTCTTTGAGTTGGTGTTTGCGAAGTACTTCCTGGTCACCAAAGGTCGTCACCAATACTGTTCGTGAGAGCATTTGCCCCAAAACTCTATCCACAGTAAACCGATGCCACTTTAAGTGATATTTCTAACCAACGTTGGTGCCAACAATTTGGCAAATATGTCGGAGACGACTTAACTTCGTCTTAACTTTATCCGAGACGGCCAGCCCTTCAATTATTCAGATGGTTTGAGCGTTGTCTCTCTATGCTAATATAATACCTTCACTGCTCCGCCATCTTTAACCTTCAATAGTGGTTTATGGGGAAATTATTTAAAATAAGAATGGTTTATTGCTCGAACCTCTTAGCGAGAGCGGCAACCACAATCCGACAGATGTTTATTCGATGCTTTTTAAATGGATATAATTCTAATTCGTTAGCGTTTTCAATTAAAATATCTTTAAAACGAAATTATCTTATACTTTAAAACCAACGCGCGACCTTCTGCATCGCTAATATTACGTTAAGGATACATCAATCAAACATGGGTAAAATAAAACATTTAAATATACTGAATTAATTTAATGGTATATTCACATTGGCTTAGTTACTTGCAAACTGTGTCCAATATAATCATTACCGAAGTAAACTGCTGATGCTAGTAAGAAGAACTCAATGATATATACTTAGCGGCGAGTGTAGGATATCAGTAATGGTAAAAAATGCTAAGTTTGTTCTTATGATTGTCAAATCTTTTTATTAATTCTGCATAGAATCTCTCTTTCTCTCGATTTGTGGACGATAAGTATATTTTATTGAAACACTAGTGACCCGCCCCGGCTTCGCACGGGTGCAATGTATTATACATATAAACTTTTCGCGTGAATCAGTCTATCTAGTAAAAAAAAATCGCATCAAGATCCGTTGCATAGTTTTAAAGATCTAAGCATACATAAGGAAAGCCAGACAGCGGGACGACTTTGTTTTATACTATGCAGTGAAGATTAAATCGAATGAATATATTTATGTTTATTATTGCTTTGATTTTATTAACGAGTGAAACTAACGAATAGCATTGAGTACTGGTAAACTTGACGGCTGTACGACTGTTACGCTCTTGCCTAAGCGCTTAAACTACGTTTCAGCAACGAAAGCCTCGAGTGGCGCATTGATGAGTGCGGATGCGCCTTGGCTCGAGCCAAGGTCGGACGCCGGGTCGCGCAGAGGTTGTATAGGACGGCGTCTATTGTCTGTTCTCAATACGCGGCGCGGCTGTTTCGTTGACGGGCCTTCCGTCGACGGCGAAGTTGACTAAACACCATCCCCGTGTTAAATACAACTGCCAACGTTTACGTTTTATGCGAGATTTTAAACGCAATCGAGCGTAACGATTAATGATTGGGCTGTATTTTTTCGGTGTGTGTTTTTCTTTTTAATTCTAAATTTCGAACGCGACCGCGGCTAGGAACTGTTTTGGTTTTCAATTTTAATTTTCGAACGCGTCGCTGTACGTATTCTTGTTGCCTTGTTTCCAATTGGGCAAAAACAATTATGAATAAGTAATTTGAATTCAGAATTAGAATTTTGAAACTCTTGAAACTAAAGAAAAGATGAAATTTAAATCTTATTAGTTTTTGACTCATGACTACGCAATGAGGGTTTTGTTTAATTGTACTTACAGAAAAGTAAAAATTATATTTTTTCTGTTGTATTAAACATTTATTTTAGTTCACCAGCCGTAACTACTGTGACTGTACATTCTTCCTAAATCCACGCTTCAAACTAAGACGTATGAAATAATTCGATAGACATGTAAGTAAATGTGTGCCGATAAGATTGCCCCGTGACCCGGTAGACCGCCAAAACGTTACAAGGTCTGCAGATAATGCGGGCCGCTATATTATGTAAACTCTACGCGTACCCGAAAGATAAACGAAAGGTTGTGTTTAATAAGAGCACCTTCCAAACCAATTTCGGGGGAAAAAAACTTCTAATCGGAATCATTATCCTATAAGACGGTTGGGAGTTTATAATATTAAATTAAAACTAACATTCACGTTACATTATACCCCACTGCGAGGCAAAAGCCTTCTCTGTACAGATACAATAATATTTGGTAAACTTTTTTTTCTTTTGCGCTTTCTGCAAAAGCTAATTTGCTAATCTCATATCAGAAAATTTGCTAGATCTATGGAGAGATACATAAAGAAAGAGACATTGGTGAATATAATCCCTATATATATTTTTTTTTATCTCATAATGATTCTGGAATCGGAATCAAAATTGAAAATATAATATAAAATTCGTATATGAGTTATTAATTTCAGTCCGACGTGTGTCCGAAGTTATTTTTATCGTAAGTATTGTAACTAACACGTTTAGAGTGTAAATGCATCATTAGATATTCTGACGATCTTACTGGATTGGGGATTTAGTATTGGAATGTCCATTAATTTAGCCAAAGCAACACCTAGAATGTGTTCAGTGATTATTGTTCTATTGAGAATGTCAGACTTGTGCATATATTGCCTCATGACTTTCACAAGGGTGTAGTTTGAGATTGATATCATTGATACTTCCAACCTGGAGTGTTAGAGTTTCGAATAACGAAATCCTTCAAAGTATTCACCGAGCTTATTTGCGACATGCGACTAGATTTTAAACTTTATCGCGACGCGCGAAGATCCCATTTCAAATGCCCAATCTTACCAAATAAAGGCGTGCACAAATTGCAGAATTTGCCTTACCTATTGATATTAGATAAGTTCGCGATGAATTCGACAATTTGTTGGCCGAGCTGGGCGGACGTCTTATCGTGTATTCGAGACGTATCCTTCAAGGTCACACGACGATTCCGTTCCGATGTTACCGTGTTATTTGCTACGACTGCAGCAATGCCTCCGTTCTTTTAAGCTTCTGAATTCTGCCAGCTCGCCTCATTAATCCAACTCGACCGAACTGGTCTACGTCTAGTTCTTCCAGTTGACGAGTTGAGTGCGTAAATTAGTCATTTTACATTTATCAAACGAAGTTTTATTTCTTATGTTGAATTTCGTTATGTCTACTCAGAAAGTGCTATTTTTCAGTGTCGCGAACTATTGGAATGTGTACCTTTATTCAGTTATCTTAAAATGTTATAATCCTGAAAGAACTATAATTACTTTCGATAAAGTACTTTCCAGCACTTGAGCCTGGAAAATAAACTCCCTAGCATGTGATAAATACCACTCAATAAAAACTAGAATTTATCCAAACAAAAGAGTTCTTTTAATTACATTACTGGATAAATATTAGTATCTACTGTCTATGTCTTACCTACCTACTACTACCGTACCTACTGGCTTAACAGCGATGTATTACTTGATCTCTGAGCTTTTATAACCAGCAGAAGACTGCCGCGGACAGGTGATAATGATGATGAACCAAATCATATTGTTTCTTCCGATGAGTGAGGTAACCGCACATCCACTCTCGGCGACACGCATCTACATATCTAATTGTAATATAAAAAGCTTACTTCTTTCATTTACAACTCAACAATTACTGCTAATGGTCTCAATATAATTTTAAATGGTCTAGAAATCACTCGAAAAGACTAGTTGGTCAAATGTGGTTTTGATTCCAAACGAGATAATCGGCACAGCGTCGCGTCGATTCGCAAACACCGACAAATCATTTCAGCCTCTGCCAATTCGACCCAAAAGAATTTTCGGTGCCACCAGCGCGCATTTGACTTTCAATCCGTCGGACAACCTTCAAAATTGATTATCACAAAATTTGAATCGGCCAACTCCGATCAATTGACACATAATATTTGAATTTCCGATTTTCTGGGTCGATGCGACAGCCAAAATGTTACGTGTGGTTTGCATGTCATGTACCATATTTGGTTGTCCAAGACTAGATGAGCACACGTCGTTTATTTCATGTATTTTACATTTCGACGTTAAATGTAAAATGTAAAAATAATGTAAAATTTCTTATAGTCGTATTCTATAACTTCCATTGATTTTCACCAAATTTAATGTTTCATACACCATACTTCAGCTTACGTTTGCTTTTTTTGACAAAATAATAGACAAGTAGAATAATGTTAATAATGTTTTCAAAAAAATGCTTTCGCTCCAAAATTTCTTACAAAAAAGCCAGGTGCCATCTATCAATTTGTTTAAATAAAAAAGATAGCGACTATTCTCCAAAGTAAGATACCTTTCAATGATAATTATTTGAACCCAAGGACACTTATAACAATTGTGGATGCAACGCATCTGTATATCTAAAAAGAGCGGGTTCGA